GTGTAGACCCTCTACACACCCAAAATGAGTGTACGCATGGGTCAGAGCTGGCGTGAGGCACCGCACATTTTCACGTCAAGTTTGGATTTTATAAATCACAACCTTGGCGTAAAAAGTGGCGTACGCAAGTTTCTGGGCTCAAATTGTGCGTACGCCAGTTTTATAAATCCGACCCCTGGTACTGACCAAAACACTTGACATATTTTCTTTTTCACAACACCTCACTGTGAAGGATTGTGTGTTTGTGTGGGGTGGGGTGGGGGGTGCTGGGTGCAGGATGAGGCATATCACTCCAGGGAGGAATGGAGTTCGTTGCTGACAGATAGATTTTAAATCCAGATCAGACGCTTTAACCTTTCCACAGACTCACAGCCAACCACTGTTTAGCCTTTCTGCATTCTTATTCTGCCTGAAACAAACCCCTTTGTTTCACCAACTTGTTTCTACTTGATCAGTTTTGGAGTTCAGGCAGTGGTTTGTACTTAAATGCACCACAGGTGTGTTAAATAAATCCAGAGATGTTTGTTTCAAAGGTAAGAGTTTCACCCACTTAAACATCATGAGAAAGTTGGAAAATTCAATGTGTTCTTGTTTCACCACTAAACTATGAAATGGGATTTATTAATTTAGAGATGGAGTTTTTCTTCATCAGAAGAAGCTGCCAAGTTGAGCTGCCATCTTTCCACCACAGATCAAACAGACAAAACCAAACAGCTGCTTTACAGAGAACACGTGGTGTTTTCATGCTTTCAGCAGCCACCTCCGCACTGTTTACGAGACTAAAGTAATTCTGCATGACATCCTGCATCACAGTATAAAATACTGATTTGTGTTAGATGTCTCCATGAAAAACAATAAGCTTGACAATTGGCTGCATGTTTTTTACTGACATTGTAAATATAATAATGTTAATGAAAACATAATCAAAAGTAATAATGAAGATGCTCATATTATTTGTGCTTTTAATTTTTTTAATATATTAAAACATGTATAATTTGGAGCAAGTTTACACAACTTCCTGATATCCTAATGAAATATACTGTATTTTATGCACAAGTCCAAATACCAAAGAGTTATAGTTTAACAGTAGCTCGGTGTATCTACTTTTCTACTTTTGTGATGTATGGTATAACGATGCTCTGCTTCTCAAACTTCTAACTCTCTTTGTGGAAAAGCAAAAAAGATGAAAACACACGTTAAGTGTCTTTTTCCTGGTTGAGAACTCAGTAAGGTTTTGTAACTCTAATAAACACTAAAACTATGGTTGTCAAAGTGCAGCACAGCTGGTGGTACTCAGGATCCCTTGTTCAGAAGAAAAAAATGTACCAAAAGGGTTAAATATAAAATGAATAAATTGTGACAAGCTGACCTGTGATGTAAAGCTAAAAAGCAGAGAGAGTGTTTAGAAAAAGAGTTAGATATGTGCCCGGCTCTGGGCAGGGGGGCTTTGGTGCGCTGGTGGGCTACAGGTTTCATCAGCTGGGGGATTGGGCTGGCTGGGGGCGGGGCCGGTGGCCCGTGGGAGGGGATAGGCCAACCCAGCCTGGGTGTTTATGTTCTGAGAGTTATCTGAATGATGGGGTGGGTATAATATTTCTTCTGGGGTGGGGGCTGGGTGGGTGCCCTTGGTGGCAGCTGGGAGCTGTGCTGGGTCGGGTGGTTGGCCCCTTTGTTGTGGCTGAGGCTCGCTCTTGGTCTCTCCTTGCGCTGTCGGCAGCTGGGTGTGCACTCTCGGCTGAATCGTCCTTGCTGGGGTTCGGGGGTCAGGTCTTTGGGGTCTGAACGGCTCTGGGGCAGGTGGATTGTTGGTCCCGGTTTCTGGCGATCCTCCAGGCTCTGTCTGTCAGTGATCTGGGGCTTTCCGGGCCTGGCGGTCTGTCCGGAGGAAGAGGTCTTGGGGCCTCATTCCCTGGGTGGGTCTTGGGAAACGGGGGAGCCTACTTGGGGTCAGCGGGGGAGCTGACCCCATATTGGAACATTTTGCTCCCTCAATCATGTTTTCTCCCCATCCCCCACCACATACCTCCACCTCTTCATTTTCAACTGCACTCGTAGGGTTTTTGGGGTGCAGGTGTGTTACAAAGAGCAACAGTTTTACATCTCTGTTTGCTATAACCACCTGGGCTCCAATTTTACTGTACACCTTAGACATCCACTCATAACATCCTCATAATATTTACATATATGAACTTGGGGGTGGGCACTTATGGCATGCAAGGAAGGGGCGGGATGGAATACTCTTGCCACTGATGCCTGTGCCCACTCCCAATGTTTGCTTTTAGACATTTAGGGTTTTGTGTTAGAGTTGGGGTGGAGGGGAAACTGGCACCATGCCAGCCTCTTCTTCCCCGTTTTAATTGCGTTACAGAACAACATGCATCAACAGCACATCTGAGGGTGGGTGTGTGTGTGTCGGGGTCTTTTTCACTCCCCCGTTCCCCGTTGGCCTTCTGGGGATGGAGTCCAGAGGAGGTGCAGACTGTATGGTGGGGCCTGGGCTGTGGGCAGACATGGGGCTTGGAGGGGTGCTGGGCACTTTGGCTTCCCTGGGGCTGTTTGGGCTCCTGGGGTCTGGCTCGTGGTTGCTGTGGTAGGCCCGCTGGCTGGAGTGGCTGCCGGAGTCCGGCAGGTGGTCGGTTGAGGGTGTGCTCTTGGCCATTGGCGGTGTGTGTGGGTGGTCCGGGGTGAGGCTTCGCTGGTGCAGGGCGCTGGCCAGTCGACCTGGTGTGGCCCGGGCCGAGACTTGGCTGTCTGCTCCTCTCCGCCCCAGATTGAAGGAGTTTACCTCCTGGGTTTGGATGTGAGCTGCCCTCTGTAGGGGGCAGGTGCATATCCTGGACCTGGGGGGTATAGTGTATGTATGGGGAGTGTGAGTTGAATTTGGCATCCATTTTGTGTGTCATGAATGAGTGGGTGAGAGGATGAGGGTGGGATTGTGTGATTGTGTCTGTGTATGCTTGGATTTTTATCAGGCTGGGACTTGGGCGGCCCCTTCTTAGCGTTCATTTGAGGGACCACTGCTTCCTCTGCCGCACTGCCCTCTGGTGGGTTGTGCCTTTGCCCATCGGTGCACTGGTGGCTCTCGATGTCTGGGGCTGGGTGGTTGGGCATGTGCCAGCTTGGCCTGGTGGCTGCCCGGTGGGTTCCCTGGCCCTGTCGGACCTTGACCTGGGGGGCAGGGGTGCACCCTGGGGGCCCGGGCCTCTGTGTCCATGCCTGGTTCTGCTCTGGCACGGTGGGTTCCGGCGGGGCCTTTGAGGTCGTCACTGCTGGCCCCAGGGGTTTGCTGCGTGTGGTCGCTGATGGGGCTCTCTATTACATTTACATTTCACTTTTTTCTTATCTTTCTTTTTCTTCTTTAAAAAAGTCACTGACAATGAAGGAACTAAGACTATTCAGTTCTGCTTTCTACTGAAGTGCCTAAAAAAAGAAAAAAGAAGGAAAAAAAGAAAAAGAGTTATAATCTTGGCTCTAAATAGAAACTACTGAAAACAAAAGTGCTGCAGAGAGTATTTCCTGGATATTTCATGGACTTCTTGGATTCTGGGCAGCTTGTTAATAAAATGCAGGTTATGAGCCTTGTCCACCTGCCTCCTGGTAGCACCCCCCCCCCCCCCCCACACACACACACACACACACCTCCTCCCCTCTGATCTGTCACAATCCTGACAGACAGTTCCAGTGATGGACTGAGCTCCTGTCAGCCAGAGGCCAAGCTGTTATGTCCTCTTGTTTTTATGGGTTTCCGTCTTGGAAATCTGCCCTCCTGGGGTCTCCCACTTGGAATTTCTCTATCCATATACATTTATTGTGTGATCACTTGTCTGTCTGTCTGAAAATCTTTAGTAAAAGCCATCTGATCTACCTGCTGGATCATAATCTGTCCTCTACTTTAAATGTTTTCTTCCAAGTTTCATTAAAGCTGAAAAATAAAATTTGCAATAATATATATATTTTTTAATCCTTTTAAAAATTATTGTAGTTCTTTGTCTTTCGTTTATAACGAATATTAACTTATTTGTGTAGATATGCTGTGATTGTTGCCTTCTGGGGAAGGAAGCCAATGAGCGGAACATACCCTGTGACCACAACCTGTCTGTGGGTTACCAGTGCAGCCTAGTGGTACGGGCCTGCTGTGTGCATAGCACTTCAGACAACCAGACCGTACAAACGGAAAACATAGAATGTGAGTAAAAAATACAATAATAACTCTTCAGGTTGTGTCAAAAAATCACCTCTTCTTGTAAGAGAAAAGTAAACAATGGTAGAAAAACCTGCTCATGTCAGATCATTCAGGAACTAGAAAGACTGGAACTGGTGTAGAACACAAAACTGCACTGCCCTCTGGTGGACACATATTGTTAATACTTGCAGATTTTATATGCTATAGCTATAAGTGAATACATTACAAGTAGAAATTGTGGTTTTGATGTAATAATGAATACAAACTTATGCTGAGTGAGATGGTGCAAAACCTCACTGTGTATCTATATGTACTGTAAATATAAATGCTCCATATTTTTAACTGTATCCTGACTATATTTTGACTATGTCCTGTTGTGTCTTTCTATTGTACAGCACTTTGGTTGGCCTTGTGCTGTTTAAAGTGCTTTATAAATAAAAGTGGTATGGTATGGTATGTTAAAGTACCACACAACAATATCCATGTTTACAGACAGAGATGAAGCACATTAATCATGGAAATAGCCATAGTATTTTTCTTTTTTAATTATCTCAGATTCAGGTCATTATTTTGATATTTTTTCGATACAAAAATTTTTTTCCATGCCTTCTTAAATTGTAATTTATTGAAATTAATTATGTACATTTGTTTAACCTCAAAAGTTTAGTTTTTCAAACAAATTTTGCTGTAACTGCAAGTTTCTCAGTGGATCTGTGCTCAACAATGCAGCCAAGGTGGAGTAGTTGAACACAGATCCACTGAGAAACTTGCAGTTACAGCAAAATTTGTTTGAAAAACTAA